GGGGGAAGTTATTTTTGCTTTAAAGCACTCGCCCTTCTTAGGGATTTACCCGTTGAAGGTGCTCATACGCCTGTATTTATAGTAAGAAACTCACTGAATATCTATAAATATTTAACTCTGAATTTCAGTTATTGCTGTAGTATTAACTTGAAGTTGTTATAGAAATCCCAAACTTCAAATTGTGAATCTGCCTCCGTGCGTAACGCTATTACTTTTTCACATAATGGAACAAGCACTTGGATTGTCATCACTGAAGAGGTAAGCAAATTTTTCTTCTTCAGTAGCATTAGGGGGAAGTTGTGCTTGTGGTACATTTTTAACCATACCAGCAGGTGCTCTTTTATCATAGGCCTGAGGTGCATGAGGATAATATACCACATTATAAGGTACATATGGCCAAAATTCTGCTCTTTTTCCTGTACTCTTTATTCTGTTCAATACTCTGTTTGGATCAACATATCCATTAACTGTCACTTTGCTTTGCTTTCTGTTTACTTCCACTGTTTTTACACCTGAAAATCCAATTTCCAAGAGCTCTTTAACACTTCACACATGTGAAATTAATACAATTTGGTTAAAACATACAAATATAATCTTAAAAATAAGAAAAAGGGACAGCGGTTCACTGAGCTCCGGCTATGCACGGAGTCCGGGGAAGGGCCGGATCATAAGGGTCTATTGTACGCAGCCTTACCCTACATTTCTGCAAGATGCTATTTCTACGGCTCGAACCTGTCACCTCTTGGTCACATGACGGTAACTTTACCGTTTATATCAAGGCTCCCCTTCAGATCTTAAAAGTAAGACAAGTAAATTCTTTGCAACAGGTTAGTTGCTCAAATTGACATAGATATAAAGAAAATCCTTAGAATATGAGTTTACATTATATACACTGTCAAAAAGAAATTGCACTATCAGTTCATCCAAAAGATATTACAGGTAAGTCTTCATAAAAAATGAGATGCGTAATCTTCAAAATAAGACAGATTATCTGCTACAACAAATAAAAATGACTTGATGGTGACATTTTTTAACACTGATACACTATTAGAGTATACATATATGTACTAAGTTTTCGTCTATTGTCACATAAGAGTTTACATTACAATGTGTTGGAACTAACAAAGTTAAATGTATTTTTTGCAGAGTTTTTATGAAGATGGTGAAAAGTGGTTTCTCTCAATTAAAAAGCAGCTATAACTTTACATGTGCTTCGTCTTAAAAAGGTAGATTCCGCAATACAGAATAAGTAACAGTTCATTAAAGATTACACAGTTGACTATTTCAAAGGAAAAAGTAACATTTCCATTGATATGCTTAATTAGTTTGCTTTTAAAAGAAATCTTTCATCCTTTTTTTCTTTGTTGACCATTATTCCATACAGGGGCGGAGGTAGTGTATTGTTTCTTCTACTTAGACCCCGTTTTATATTAAAAAATTTATTAAGTATGTATAAATATTTAATTGCGAATCCAGTAATTAAAAGAGTTATGACTTCCAGGTTCAAAATTCATAAACTTCAAATCCCGACTTCGCTGGTTTCATAGAGACATAGAAGCTTGTATCATTGAGAAAACTGCATTTTGAATTAACAAGAACTTTTGATAACTTAAAATATTGGAGTTAAGTGTGTGTTTTCTCTTGTATTTTCACTTTTTCCTATAATTAAAGAACAAAGCTTAAATTATATTTTGTGAAGAAGAATAGTCATTGTACGAACCTTTCATATACTTAACAGAATTCTTGACTCTTCTTTCACATCCATCACAGTCCATTTTCACTTTTATTTCAACCGTCTGCCAAAAAAATCACAACTTTTCAATAATACAAATATATAAAAGAAAAGAAAAGGCAAAGAGAAAAAAGCCTGAGGAAGTCTTCTTGAACATGTAAACTTGAAATTTAGCAAGCTTTAAATGAGTATATAAAGTGAAAAATTATAACCTGCATTGATTTCTTCTTGTTGTTTGTATTGGTTGTGATTGTAAAAAAGTTTACTATATGGTCCATGACGCCCATAATCTTCTAGTTTCCTCTCTTATGAGAAAAGCAAAGCAAAAGAAGAAAAAGAAACGAATATAGGAGAGATGTGGAGAGGAGGGACGAAGTTGGGTGAGTGATACTATGACACATTAATGATTGTTAGGGCGTGGTATTTATAGTAGGATTTTATCTATCTACGCACGAAGCATCCCGTATTCATATAGGATTCGAGGTAAGGGCCGTACCCAATGAGTGTGATATAGACAGCCTACCCTAATGCAAGCATTACAATTAGTAGCTGCTTTCATATTTCGAACCCGTGACTTATTAGTTACACGGAGATAACTTTACCGTTGTTCCAAGACTCCCCTTCTTAATTTGTATACATAGTATAAAGAATTTTTGTGCTATCTATTAATAGTATGTATTCTTGCAGTTTACCTACCTTATTTTAGGTACTATATGGTTTATTATATAGGTTATAATTATATAAATAAACAGTTTAAAGATTCTTGTACATCGTCGGTGAAGTTTAACCTGTAATAACATATTGGTTATCAGCTGACCAAATTACGGATTAATGTTTATCAAGAAATTTATAACCCGTAATTACTTAATAACTGACTTGATGACATAAATATTTTTGATACCTTGGGTATGTAAAACTTAAAATCTGATTATATATAGGTACTGCTTTTTGGGTGACGTAACAGTAATTCATTTAACTATGATCGTATATATTAAAATTAGATACTTTATAGTAAACTGTTCGTGAGATTGTACACTTTGGGTCTGATAAAATAGTGTCATATATTCTTTCTAAATACAGTTCCAGGACCCCTTTTAGAAAAAGATGTAATCAATGTTAATCCTTTTTTTGTTCCGGGACCACACAATTTTATTCAATAATCGATGTTCTTAAAAAATAATTATGATGACAGTTTTATCCAATATATAATGAACTTATGAAGAGTAAATAATTGATTAACATTTTTTGTTGGTGTTTCGTACTTCTATAATAATATAGATGGATAGATATGGATTAATACTAAAATTCATAATCATCGTCTTTCCTTTTCTTCTATAATTTTCATTCTCTTGAGGAATAAAAAAACAGTATCTCCCTTATAGCTTTAAAAAAATATAAATTAGCTAATATAATAAAAATTGCTCAAATGTGTAAAGAGATCAATTTCCCATTCCCACACCGATGTGGAGCTCAATACTTCCAGATAGCGCGAAAAATGAAATGAACAGAAAAAAAAAAATAAAGACAGAAAGCTTTTTGCTTGTGAATAAATTAAAGAAGAATCCCCGTGCTGAAATTACAGCGGCGGAACTAGAATTTTTCATTAAAAGGATCTCAAAATATATAAAAAAGTAAATTCACGAAAAAATTAAGAAATGTCAATATATAATATATATACATAAGCAATTCTTTTACCTAACTATACAATTATAATTTTCTTTACCTAACTATACTATATAATTTTTTGATGAAGGGGTGTCGTTTGCATATGGGACAGCCACTATCTGAAAGCGTAAATCAAATGGAATGGAAAAAATTCGTAACCCTTAATTTGTTGACTTAATAAGAAGAGAAGAGGCAGCTTTTTTGTGTCTTCTCCATATTGACACGTTTTGTTCACAGGCGGCAGAGGCACGATGGCTGCAGCCTGCAGATGCCTTCTTTGCCATGCATTGGACGTTTAAAAAGAATATATATGGACAGCTGATAATGCTAATTCCATAAGTTGAAAACTGTATAATTCCATATACATACTGGGACAGGTATATTCTAATACTTCTGATCTTTAGGTCCAGTCAACTTTGGTAAATAGCGGTGGTAAACTGGTGGATCGGATCGGATTTGGACGGGTCAAAAATGATATGGCAAAAACAAATAAAATATCCAACCCTCCCCTCCCCCACCCCCTCTATATTTAATATGGATAAAAAAATGAGTTAATTAACGGATAATTATTCTTTTTAACCACATTGCCAACACTATATATGGCTTCTTTCATAGCACACCCCATTCATTCCGCTCGCAAGAATCCATTTAAATACTAAATTAATTGTACCACAGTTCGGGGCGGAGCTACATTATTGGTTGCAGGTTCGGCCGAAGAGTTTTTGTTCAAACCCTATATTTGTACTACGAAATTCAATGAATATGTGTAAATTATTAATTTAGAATCCAATATAACTTAAAAGGATTTTAATCCCAAACCCAAAAGGTTCAAATCCTAGCTCCGCCTCTGACCACAGTGTTTACCTCGAAAATACGAGTAACAATTAAACTTGATTTATGGTTCTAAAGATATGTGATTTAGTTCAATACTAATTAATAACCAAGAAATCTGAAGTATAAATGAAGGAAATAAGTAAAATCAAACCAGTGTGCAAGCCAGTCTCGACCTCGAGCTAAGGTGGCCTCGAGGTGGAACAAGAACAGTAAAGTAAGAATAATAAGGTTAAAGGAAAATTCTGATAACTAATGAGCGAAAAAGTAACAGAGTGTATTCTTTTGCCAATGATTGATCTTCTTTACAAATGATTGGGGTCCCCTTTATATAGTAGGGGAACCCTAAATAAGGTACATTTTTATTTTCAGTAAGGAACTTATTGGGGCAGATGTCTAACCACCTAGTACGGATTCGTACTAACTCGTACAAATCTATTCCCAAATTTACGCCACGATCTTGGGGACGTGGCGAGAATCTTGCTCTTTCAGTTACGGGACCATAACGGTATTATCTCGAGGTCGGTCATACTTGGCCCCCGTGTTCATCGAGTACTTCAATCTTTGAAGCCTCCCATCGGGCTCGCTCATAGCCCGAGAACATCATTTCATGGCCTGCGAATCCTTTATCATACGCTTCATGGCCCAGGACATCATGGTCTTACGACGCTATTCCTAACTGTCCAAAGACAGCATTCATGGTCCAACGAGAATTTGCATCATGTTTGAATTTGCGCACAATATATGCTTGCATTGCTTATTTGCAGGTAAACCGGCGAGCAATGGCCATCCCGGCAGGAGCAATTCTGCTCCAGTGCCCACAGCCATATCAAACTTAACCATTCTCGTAAACCTATCACTCACCCGGCTCTAGATATTGCGTCCGCCCTTGAAAAGTCTCCATCGGCATACCCCGCCGACGGATCCTGAACTACGTACGACCTGATTCCTGTAAAACCAAGGATATGTAGGCAGCTCAGAATCCAGGGTGCGCCCTAAATCTTTTTCAAACTGTTTCGCTCGGTCAAAATTGGCCATCATTTCTTTACCCGAAAACTCTTTCATTCTTCCCAGGTAAAGAGGGGCAGTTGTTGATACCCAATTTTTCCCTATATATTTTTAATATGCAAAACACCTTCAAAATAGCATATATGTATACATAGCATGTCCAAGTGTTCTATTATTTTTTCCATAATTTTTAAAGGCTTAAATTGACTTATTTTCCCCTTTTTATCCATAAAATCCCCAATAATTATTTCTAAGATGATTATCTTGAGAATTCTTCTATTGGATTTTTATATTTATGCCAAAATATGCCTAAGGTAATTTCTACATATTTTTACAATTATATTTAGTATTTTTTTAAAGCTAAATTGTACATAATTACAATATTAGATATTTTAAGGTTTAATTATGTTTTATACTCATAAAATTTGATCCTACATTTTAAAATTGTTAATTATGTATTATAAAATACTTTAGTACTTTAAATTTATTTTCAGAAACTATTGGCTATTTTTTATAAATTAAAAAGGGAAAATTGGCTATTTTAATAACAGCCCCCTCTGTATTTCAATTATAGCCTAAATAAACCCCAATTCCGAACCCAATTATACCCACCGGACCAAGCCCAAACCCAATTTTATAACCCAACCCACCTACCACTCTCATCTCGACCGTTGATCTCCCAAATCAACGGTCCCCATTACCCTTACCATTTTTAAACCCAATCGACCCCCTAACCTAAATCATTTCTCACCAGTCCGCCGCCTTTGAATCCCCTCTCCTCTCCAATTCTCTCTGAAACCTAAAACTAACCCTAGCCACTGCCACCCTAATCCCATTCAATCCCCACTCAATCCATGGACTCCCATGGCTGTTTGAGCCGTATACCGCTCTCCTATGTCTCTTGGTGGCCCGCTTTTGTAATTTCATGGACAAATCTCAAAGAGATCCGGTCCAGTCCTTGCTCAACTTCTATCCATGGTCTTTTCCCGGCCATCTCTGGCCTTACGAGTCAGATCCATGGCTTTTCCGGCTAGATCGGTAACTTTCAAAGTTTTCTTACTTTTTCTGGGTTCTCCGAAACCCTAGCCTTATAGACCTTCGATTTTCTTTTAGATCTGTCTTAGATCTGTGTATATCACGAACCTCCTAGTGTTTTCTCAATGGTTTTTCCAATTTTTCAAAGTGACTCTTCGTCTTTAAAGATTAGGGTTTTCTTAATCTCTTTTAAAAGACTTCTCTTCTGATTTTCAGTATTGTCCTATGATTTTACTATGTTTAAATGGTTCGCTTATGTTTTTCTTCTACCTGGTTCATCGTGTGGAAAACCCTAAGTGTTTTGGTTCTATTCGGGGTACTGAAACTGTCTTTGTTTATTTGTTTATATGCTTGTTTTGATTGGGTTCTTTGTGGTTAGATCATTTTCCTTTGTTTGCCTTGACTGATTCAGAGTCCTTACCATTTTTCTTTTACTCGACTATTGTTAAAACCCTAATTTCCTAAAACTCTTCTCACCTGTTACTGAGAGTTTTTAAAAAAAAGATCTCTTTTACCTGTTGCTATGTGCTAGACTGTTTCCTTCGTTTCTGGTTCTGTGTAACTGCTTGATTTTGTTGACTACTATTCTTCGAGTAGGTTCTTTTACTACTGAGCCCTAGCCTACTCCTGTTACTGCGGTATGTTTACATGGTTTCTTCTTTTGCCAATATGTTTGGCCTTGCATGTTCATTCTTCTTCTCTATTTATATGGCGAAGTGCAGAATCATGATTCTTTCTTGATTGATCTTAATTTCCTTAAGTCACGACTAATTGCAAATATTTTCTTATAAACCCCTGGTTTCACTCATTTTGTTTAAATTGATTGATTCCCTTTATTTACTGTGATGTTTTACCTTGCTGAATTCTTTCCCA